AGCATACGCTGAACTTGAACATGCTGTATCGATCGTTAATGATGGTCCACATAAGCCAAGAGCATAAGATATACGGTTTGCAATATAAAATCCGGAATTTCTGTTTTAAATAAATATTTTTATCTGTGAAACAAGCTACAAGCTACTAGTAAAAAATTAGGTCTATTTTTGAGCTACCTGGTACACTAAAATGGAATTTATAACTTACCCAACAAGAACATATCCATCTTTTGGAGGAAGCTTATGAGTAAACACATCTCTGGCATCTGATACACTACATCCCATAAATACACCAGTTCTGGTTCCAACTAAAGATTGTGGAGATACACCAGCATCCAGAATCGCCTAGATTATACGAGAGTCACTCATTTTAATACTTAAACTATTTGCTTCTTATTATTTACCTCATATGAATGCTCAAGAAGAATTCTTATTTGCGGATCTGTCCAATTGGCATGTTTATTCAGTGTCGAAAAGAACGAAGCATCAAACTTTTCCAAATTGCGAATTTTACCAAATCTATGCGGAACTTCATCTTGAAAATGATTCCAACGACTTGTATCATCATCCGTCATATCAATCTTGTTGAACAAATTGTATTCAAATTCTTTCACATTGTTGGAGTTTGGGAATCTTCCAGACATGCCAGAAATTACAACATCCATATCTTTTACTTCCATTGTAGCTTGGGTTTTCTATAGAAATAATTTGTTTAATGATTGATTTTTAATAATTTAAATTTTACAGGATTTTAAAGCATCCCGTCACCAAAATTTAGAATCAAATAATTTGGAACATCACGAAATCTAACTGTAGTGCACCTCACCTTAATTCAGCGAATATAAGAAACGTAATGACTGAGCATTTAATTTTCGTCTCTTTTATATTTAATTAAATATTTAAAAGTTACTTCTTCTTATCATTGACATAAGACTTAAGCTAGGTTAAAAGTATTTTAAGTAGAATTTTTAAATTAAAAAAAAATTAAACTTAATCCACAATTTTAAAAACATTTATTCACCTAAAGTTAAGCCTTATTTGTTAATTAATTTTACTAATTCCTACGCACTCTTCACGTTCCAAGAAATAAATTATAAATGAATCTTCAAAGATGTTTTCATGAGTTTTATATAATCTCAAATCACGCGTAACATTTTCGTTCAAAGTATAAAAAAATCAGGTATCAGAATTTAAACACTAAGGTCGTCAAAAGTATTGCAACTCAATTTAAATAAGCGCATTTTCTTATCGGAATTCTTTATAATTTTATCTGAGGGGTCATTCACAAATTATGTCAGTCGAGTGTAGTATAGAGCAGTGTTTCTCAAAGTTTTTTTTGTGTCCACAGCACATTTTTTAACATAAAAATTTTTGTGGCACACCTGGAAAATTTTTGCAAACACTAAGAAGCCGCGGCACATGATTTGAGAACCACTGGTTCAGAGCTTTGAAAGGAAAACAAGAGACAACGATTTGAGAGAATTTAGAAATCATATTTTTCATTACTGAATGACCTCATATTTCTATCTAAATGCTCGTCCAGCCAACCAACCAACCATACAAACTGTCTTATCATAGCTGAATTTTATCAAATAAATCTATTTCCGAAGAAAATACTTAAAAAAGCTTAATGAATAAAAATTTACATATCTATAAAAATAGTTAAAACCAGATGATGGAAATCTTACGCAAGTTATTTTGACGCATTTTTATGACAAGGTAACAGAGTCTGAAGCTGTACAGCATAAATGTCTATTAAAAAAATTGTATTCGATTGAATACAGATCTGTTGATCGAAAAAGTGAAAAGTTTGTCAAAAATTCAGCTTATATGCTTATGTTGTAGACATTGGTCCCTAGTTTATGGGAAAAATAATTTTTTCCCCCGGAAGTGCCTGGTCCACGAGAAAAGAGAGTTTGAATTTTCGTACTTCATGTAATTTTGAAAATGCTATTGTGCTTCACCTACTTATCCGTTTGTCTTCAAACGTTTTTTATTTAATAGATACAAGTGAGAACTTTTTTATGAATATCCACATTGTATACTTTTTGTGCATATTGGTTCCTAAAAGTTGAAAAAAGTTCGAAAAAACTAGGTTTTTTGTCATTTTTTGAACCTCATGACTATATAAGGCTTTCTAAATATTTTTAAAATTACATTATTTTGTAGATTCTATTTATATCTACAAACCTCACATACATAATTTACAGATTTTATGTAGTTTGAGTAGTGAAAATTAACTTTGAAGTCAAAAATTTGCATATTTTTTGCTATATTCTCAATTATGATCCACTGTCCATGTCCGTCTCCCAAATTTTATTTCAGTAAGTTGTAGATTTTAGTATGCTCTATTGATTAATGCTAAAAGAAAAAAGAATCACTTGCCGGAAAGCTTTAAAATATGAGTCTGAAGTTGGTCTAGTGAGGTATCTCAAACTTCAAAATGAATTTTCACATGGAAATTATCTTATAGTTCTAGCAAAGATCTATAGAAAAAAGTCCAAAAAATAAAAGTGGAATGACCTTTGTGCCTAGTAGTGACAGTCAAAGTATGACATATTGGACCTAGCATATCTGTTCTCCTAGCTGCCAATGAGCTTCAATTCTTTTTTAAATACATCAACACTACTTTAAGCTTTCTAACAATACCAAAATTATTGCATATACTTAAGATTTACAGTAGTTCTAAGCAAAAATGTCAAGTATAGGTTTTCAGATTCGGTAAAATTTGATACATTTTTTAAAATTTTGATGATATTTACTAGAAATTACATCTTTTTATGACTTATTATATACCATTGGAAAGCTTTTTAAATGAAATTTATGAAAATTGAAAAAAGTTTTGATTTAAACTAGTTATAGTAGCTTTATTGAGCATTTAATGATTTCGTAGCATCATATATCACTTTTTGCCTAAATTTTCAACAAAATTGTATTTTTAATTAAAAACTTTTATTGTGAATGTTAAGTACATTGCTATTTAAATATAACCTGAAAATTTCAGTTCCTTTCATTAAGACTGGTATGTGGAAATTCATTTTGAAGTTTGAGATACCTCACTAGACCAACTTCAGACTCATATTTTAAAGCTTTCCGGCAAGTGATTCTTTTTTCTTTTAGCATTAATCAATAGAGCATACTAAAATCTACAACTTACTGAAATAAAATTTGGGAGACGGACATGGACAGTGGATCATAATTGAGAATATAGCAAAAAATATGCAAATTTTTGACTTCAAAGTTAATTTTCACTACTCAAACTACATAAAATCTGTAAATTATGTATGTGAGGTTTGTAGATATAAATAGAATCTACAAAATAATGTAATTTTAAAAATATTTAGAAAGCCTTATATAGTCATGAGGTTCAAAAAATGACAAAAAACCTAGTTTTTTCGAACTTTTTTCAACTTTTAGGAACCAATATGCACAAAAAGTATACAATGTGGATATTCATAAAAAAGTTCTCACTTGTATCTATTAAATAAAAAACGTTTGAAGACAAACGGATAAGTAGGTGAAGCACAATAGCATTTTCAAAATTACATGAAGTACGAAAATTCAAACTCTCTTTTCTCGTGGACCAGGCACTTCCGGGGGAAAAAATTATTTTTCCCATAAACTAGGGACCAATGTCTACAACATAAGCATATAAGCTGAATTTTTGACAAACTTTTCACTTTTTCGATCAACATGACAGACCTTAAATCAATTTTAACTGCTCGACATCATTTATGAAGTATCCCTCAATCAAATCAATAACGCAATAAGTTATCACATCATTTTATAGGTATTTAAAGAAAACTTTTTGACTAAATGATTCTGTGATCACGGAAACGTCAAACTTCATCAGCCTAAAATCTCAAATTAACCAGCTTAATTCAGTTGGACGAAATCGCCATGACAATTTTTATTTCCCATCCAAATAAACAAAAATTCCACAAAAACTATCTCACAATCAACGTCATATCGTCTTCCAATAAATTGAATTGAAGTCAAAATAATTTCATTCTGACAAATTCTTTGATTGACAATTTCATGAAAATAAGCATTGAAAATTGATCGATCTGTTACAAATTTCTTTATTTATTGCTATGTCCCCTTCAACTCCAAATATCCTTTTTAGCGCATTTTTGTTTACTTGTATACAAAAAGGGAGTTTAATAATGCACTTTGTTCGTTCGTTCGTCTGAAGAAAAACTTTTTTACCAGACATCGTAGGTTTGTTTAATTAGCTCCGTTACTATTGATTTATTGGCCTATCGAACAGATAAAAGTCTTGAAACAGTGTATTTATACTATAATTAATGATTTTTTTATTTCATAAACAAAACCACGTGATATGTACGTGTAAAAAATTCAATGTTACCTCTATAATTTCAAATTTTTTCTAGCCGTTGCAAAATTTGAGTTTCAAAAAACACGACTTACGTCGAAAGCCACGAACTCCACGCTTGACTTACGTTTGATAACATGAAAGTTGCCAAATTTCTCGTATTTCGAGTAAATGAAGATCAAAAAACCATAATTTTGATTAATATTACCTTATAGGACTATGTGTTTCGTCAAAAATTTTTAAGGTTAAAACTCTTATAAAATATCAAATCTTTAACACATTATAATATATAATATCCAGTTTGAAAAAAAGTCTGGTGCCGCAAGAATTTTAAGAAAATGAACATTTTTCCTAGGTTTTCCAACTTTGAAAGCTTCAAAACTACTAAAAATTTAAGAATTTTGAAAAATGACTTTTCATTTTTCAAATTGCTTATACTGTGTAATCAAATGGCAAAAGAATTATTTTCCGAGACCCTTATGGCTCGGCTGTGACCCGATCACCAAATTTGTAGACCCAAAAAAGACGTTATTTGGCGTTTTGAAGGCATAGATGATGTCACATTGTAAAAGTTTATATACAGAAAAATCCAGCCTTCTAATACACACATTTTGGTACCCTTTGAAATTTTTGAAAATAAATCCTTCAAGCTGTATTAAAAAAAATGTGTTTTGACCGAAAAGCGTGTAAGTTAATTAGTTTTATATTGAGCTTTAAATATTAAATTGACATTTGCAGAAAATTCTTTGAATTTTTTAGTCACAAGTCACTGCTAATATGAAGTCAAGTCACTGTTTCAAAATTTTTATCTTTTGTTTTAAATAAATACTTACTTCAAAATAGTATGTTATTCGTTTGGTATTGAAATTTCAACTGAAAACTTGCTGGGAAAAGAGCACAATTGAATACTTTTTTGAGAAATAAAAACAGACTGCCATATTAAGAAAATACAAGCGATCCGTTCGGATGTAGTGAAGTAAGAATCTCATGATAATACTTATGGTTTTAAGCGCATTTTTGAAAAATTGTTTTCGAAAAGGAAGCTTAATAATGCACTTTGTTCGTTCGTTCGTTCGTTCGTCTGAAAAAAAACTTTTTAACCAGACATCGTAGAGAGCTCAGGTTTGTTTTATTAGCTCCGTTACTATTGTTTATTGTCCGATCGAACAGTTAAAAGTCTTGAAACAGTGTATTTATGCTATAATTAATGAATTTTTGTTTTGTTTTCAGTGTAACCTGCTTAAATTTTATTTTACCTCTATAATTTCAAATTTTTTCTAACCGTTGTAAAATTTGAATTTCAAAAACCCGTTAAATGAAAAAATTTTTTGTATGGAAATTCATTGGAACAAATTATTTAATTATACTATAATTAATTTTTTCGTAGTGCAACTTTTAGCGGAAAAATTTCAAATTATTTACTGACCGTTAGAAAATTTGAATTCCAAAAAAACGTTTAATAATAAAGTTTTGCTGTATGGAAATTCATTGCAACAATAATAATATCCTTTATTCAATGCATATTATAAGGCGGAACAGAAATTAAATATTTTTGATGTTAACCTTTGTCGGTTTTAAATCAATCGCTTATGTGAGGGTGTTTAAAGTAGTTGCTTGAGCATTGCAACAAATTATTTAATTATAATATAATTATTTTTTTTTGTACTGCAACTTATAGCAGGAAAATTTCAAATTATTTATTGACCGTTAAATAATAAAGCCTTTCTATATAAGCATTCATTGTAATTATTTGCTAATTGCACTAAAATTAATGGTCTTCTCAGGGATCTTCTAATCTTCTCATGATCTGTAAATGAACGCAAAATAATTACATAATCAAATACTGATCGCTAACACAAAAATGCGCTTAAGTCCCTTGATCAATAACACGAGAACTTCTGTAATTTTTTTAAGTGAGCTGTAGTGACTCGGTGGCGGAAAGGTTTTGTACTTTGGTCCCTAATTATTGCAATACTGACACAGGGCTCGATGGGTTCGAGAATGGGAATGGAAAAATTTTCACATGTTTTTTTTTTGAATCATATGCACTGGCAATGAGGCACAGCCTTAAAACTAGATATAACTAGAACCAGATATTTTTTAATTAAAATTTTATTTATAGTTTAAAAAGTTAAAACAGACAAATTTTGAGTAAATAACATTCGAGACGTTAGCAAATAAATGGGTTATTTTTTCTTTAACCTGAAGTATTTTTTTTATATAATAAAAAATAACCTTTTTATTTGCTAACGTCTCGAATGTTATTTACTCAAAATGTGTCTGTTTTAAATTATTAAGTTATAAATAAAATTTTGTTAAAAAATACCTTGTTCTCTGTTACTATTAAATCAACATTGCATTTGTAGTTTACTTTTTTAAAATTAAAATACTTAATATGATTTCCTACGATTTTTTAAATTTAAGAACATGTTTCTAGTTAATAATTTAACACAAATAAAAGCTCATAATAAAAAAAATTAATAATAAAAACACGACTTACGTAGAAAGTCACGAGCTTCTGCGTTTGACTTATGTTAGATTACAGCCCTAGTAACCAAAAGGTAGATCAATGTATTCCATGAGAATCTTCCATGGATGATACATATGTATTATGCATGTATTATCCATCGAAAGATGATGTCCTATGAAATTGAATAATAAATAGGGTTACCATCTAATTTTCATGAAAATACAGGACTTTTGGTAAATTTTTTCGAAAAATACAGGACATAGAGTAAAATTCGAAAATTAACGGAAATTTTCGTGAAAAATACTTTATAAAAAAAACTTTTTAAAAAAACTACGTTTTTCGCGTAGACTAAAAAGTAGAAAATAACTTTTATTCTTGGTTGTAAAGAATTTGGTTTTAAATTTTCAGATTATATTTAATAAATTTTTATATCCTAGTCAATATTGTTCACAAAGTTTCGAATAAGTGCATTTTGATCTTATCGTATAACTCAACAACTTAAAAACGTGGGCGCATTAATTTAAGTTTATCATAAAGTATTGATTTCACATAAACTTATTTCTCCTCTTATAATGCGCCCACGTTTTTAAGTTGTTGAGTTATACGATAAGATCAAAATGCACTTATTCGAAACTTTGTGAACAATATTGACTAGGATATAAAAATTTATTAAATATAATCTGAAAATTTAAAACCAAATTCTTTACAACCAAGAATAAAAGTTATTTTCTACTTTTTAGTCTACGCGAAAAACGTAGTTTTTTTAAAAAGTTTTTTTTATAAAGTATTTTATTTTCAACTTTTTAGTCTTATTCTAATGAAATAGAGAAATAAAGATTATAGGGGGTTCATAGGTTACAGGTGTGTTGAACTTCACTTCGTTGCACTTCGTTACGTTCAACTGTTTATAGATTACAGTAGGTTCATAGGTTACAGGTGTGTTGAACTTCACTTCGTTGCACTTCGTTACGTTCAACTGTTTATAGATTACAGTAGGTTTATAGGTTACAGGTGTGTTGAACTTCACTTCGTTACGTTCAACTGTTTATAGATTACAGTAGGTTTATAGGTTACAGGTGTGTTGAACTCCACTTCGTTGCACTTCGTTACGTTCAACTGTTTAAAGATTACAGTAGGTTCATAGGTTACAGGTGTGTTGAACTCCACTTCGTTGCACTTCGTTACGTTCAACTGTTTATAGATTACAGTAGGTTTATAGGTTACAGGTGTGTTGAACTCCACTTCGTTTCACTTCGTTACGTTCAACTGTTTAAAGATTACAGTAGGTTCATAGGTTACAGGTGTGTTGAACTCCACTTCGTTGCACTTCGTTACGTTCAACTGTTTATAGATTACAGTAGGTTTATAGGTTACAGGTGTGTTGAACTCCACTTCGTTTCACTTCGTTACGTTCAACTGTTTATAAATTACCAGTTTTCAATGGGAAATTAGTAACGACTTTCAAAATTTTTCATTCGTTTTATAAAATTTAATTTTTTTAAAGCATTCATTAGTAAAGTACATTAAAAATCACTCGTAAAGATTTTGTGTTTATCTGTACCATTTCTACTTCATAACGTGTGGATTCTTACTATAAAGATGCAAATCACATATGTAACGTATTTATAACGGATTTTCAAATTTAAATTCAATGAATATCATTTATATGTTATGCAAAAATACGTCAAGCCGTTAATAAAAAGAAAAGTCAATTTAATTAAGTTGGTGAAGTGTTATAAATAATGCAATACATTTAAAACAGCATAAATTTATGCTCAAACTATGTGTGTTAAATGCACATCGCATATTAATAGTTATTTTGCATTAATTCGTAACGGACTTGTGCTTAACGGTTTTTTTGAAAATTCAAATTTTCACTTACGAATATTCATGAAAAAATTACATGTCAATTTTTTTGTCTTACCAGAATATCTTTAGCTGCTCAAATTTATGGTATAATTAATAATTAGTAATATTAATTAAACTATAATGAATCATATAAATGACTTTAGAGCATCACATGTATAATATTTAATACAAATCAAAATTTTATATCATTGACATTGGATTTTTTCCCATATAAAAAACTTTTACATAAATTGTACTATAATTAAGCATTTTTGTGTTTCCAAAGTGTTAAAATATTGTATTGTCACCGGGAATACGTGTGCATTAAAAATTTTAGCTCGATTGGAGCAGTAGAAGTGGTCGAAAAATCGATTACAAGATTTGCCCTCGACAAACAGATAAACAGATAAACACACAATGATTCAGATTCGGAAAAAATGTTCAAAAATTCCTTGTGCACAATATTTTTCTGACACATTAGAAAATTGAAAGTTTTTGTTGATTTCTTTTGATTTGATTCTTTTAGCATCTTCTACATAATATTTTCGTTCATTGCTCAAAAAATCAGTCCTTAATATAAAGGATAAACATGTTTTTTTATCAAAAGTTTGTAAAAGTTTATCAAAAAATATTGTGCATGATCAAACTTTGTATGAAATTTTATGTAAACTTTGATCGCAAATATCTCGAAAACGGCATCAAACGGCATGTCCTCAGTAATATGGGAGATAGATTAAAGCTTATTTAATTGATTTATATAGGTTTCAGAGAGGTCTTTGGAAGACTTTTTAACTTATGAATAGTTTAAGTTTTGTAAAAATACTCAGATTTCAATTCCATTTTTAAGGCTTAATAAGCAGATTTCTATTGAGTTGGTTGTTTTAATATGTAGAGCTAAGCTTAAATTAGCTAGCAACTGCTTTCAAGACATCCAAATAACAACTTAAAGTAGAAAAAATCACATTTCTTTTTTCATACTCAAATTGTAAACAAATTTTGGGTGAGATTAAATTAATGATTTCTGGAGTTAGACAGCAAATAGGAACGAGATATTTTTAAAGGATATGCACAAAGGAAAGATCTTTTATCTGGCATTTAAAAGACAAAGTTTAATTAACATGAAATTTTTGAATTTTTGAACATTTTTTTCGATTCTGAATCATTGTGAAACAGATAAACAGATAAGAAAGCAAGTTAAGAAAAACGTAGTAAAAAAATACAGGACCTGGAACAAAGTTTTCAAATTTATACAGGACAGGGTTTTGAAATACAGGACTGTCCGTTGTAAAACTACGCAGATGGTCACCCTAATAATAAATTGACAATGCAATAAGACATCAATGTAATACATCAAAGGAATACAAATGGAAAACAAATGGATTACTTTTTTTTGGATAAAACACGTGCTAAATTCCACGTGTTCTTTTGTATTTTTCTTTTATTTGTGTAAATTATTGTAAAAGTATTAGTGTGTACTTAATTAAAGTACACTAACACTATGAAAAAGAACAAAAAGGACTTAATTTAATTAAGTCGCATACTGATGAACGCTCAAGACTCGCACACAAACTGAGGAAGATAAATAATTAATTGAAAGACCCATACAAATTTAGAGAGAACTTATAATAGTGAATTCTTCGAGCAATTGTGAAGTATATGGCAAATGCCAAATTTAGAACAAATATTATTTTCCTGCAAAAATATTTTTTTGATGATTTTTCATAGGATTTGATCCTAAGCAGGCTCGGGTAATACTTCGGTGGAACACTTTTGTTACATATTTGCAAAACAAATATTTTACATATAATAAATAATGATACATTTGATCTTCCATCGACGTCGAAGGAAGATTATATGGAACATTTTGGTTACTAGGGAGTTCTTATATATATCACAAAACGAAAACTAGTGTATCGCGTAGAAACCCAATGCAGATATATTCACTCCGTACCATCAAAATTCTTGTGGAAAGACCAAGCTTAGCTCAATATTAATTTGAAAGTATAAATCTTGACGAACCAGCTGAGCTGCGCTTAATTTATGTTTGAAGGTGTAAAGCTAAACGATTCACAGCATAAGCGACTATGGACTCTTACCATAGAAAGTCTTCATCGATAAACTATGCTATCGTACAGCATAAGTTTGTAAACTAGAACGCTTAACATAAGTTTGAAGGTATAAAGCTAGCGAGTCAGCTGAGCTTCGCTCAGCATAAGTTTGAAGGTTTATACTTAACGAACATTCTTTAAAAGTTTTTTTATATTTTTTCATCAAAAGTTTAAATTTATAAAAATAACAGTAAACTTTTAAAACGATGCAGCTCTTCTATAAAGCAGCACGGATCTAAATTTGAAATCAGATTTTTTGCAGAAAATGTGAAATTTCACGCACAAACTTTTCATTTTTATATATGATTAGATATGTTAAGCTATCTTGCTCTATTTCCTTGCAAAATTCGAAAAACTGATCTTTCAATCTGAACAAAACTAATAGATTCACACGTGAAAACGGTGTGAATAAATTTAGTGTTTTTAAGTAAACGATGTCCTTTTATTATCATTTCCACTATTTTCAATTCTTTAAGAAAATTAATAATAAAGAAATTAAGTCATTTTTTTTATCAATCATAAGTAATTTTAGCTATTTGAATGCATTTTTGACAATTTGGGAACATTTTGCGCAAATAAAGCAAAATTAATAATATTAAACTCTTAAATCCGCTTTAAAATTAATCAAGATTTACATAAATATTGCTTAAACCCACTCAAAACCAAATAAAATGAAAATCTTTTTATGGTCGATTATTCTCCTTTTAATTACCTATAATTTAAGATATCACACGTAAAAATGGATTTGAAAATTAGAAAATATGCTAAGACGATGCTAATATACTAAGACGATTCATGCGAAGCGCGATAATTTCTGCCCTACTAGACGAAAAGGGCTAAATTTTGACATATAAATCATTACTTTTGGATAATACAGTGGACCTGTAGGTTGGGTGACAAAATTTGACCGACATAAAGAAACACCTCGCGTGTTCCACGCGGAAGCTAATAAAGAAATAAAAAGTAATTATATCACATATAACGTATTTTAAAAAATTGAATAGTATGTAATTCAAAATATTTTATGATTATATTGGTGTCCTTTAAAATAACTATCAAAACATGTTTAAATTATTTCAAAACTTGTTTCCTGTGATAAGGGGCCGTTCACTTATTACGTTCGCATTTTAGGGGGGAGGGGGGTTTGAAAATTTGTAACAAAATATAACATAGGGGGGGGTGTCAAGAAGTATTTAACGTTCCAACTGTCGTCTGTCTTATAAAAAAAAGTTCACAAAAATTCACACCGACAACATTTTTTTAAATTTTCCACCTTTTGGGTTTGGGACATTTGCCCACTGGCTTTTGCCCACTCTACATATGCCAACTGACATTTTCCCACTGATACTTTTGCCCACTGGTACTTTTGCCTGCTGGTACTTATACCCACTGGAACATTTACCCATTGATATATTTGCCCACTGATACTTTAGCCCACTCGTATATTTGCCCACTGTATAGTTGATAAAAGTATTTATGTTCAAAAAATGATTTTTAACGCATTTTTTTGGCCTCATAACTATTTATTGTTATCGTGTACATTTTACCTACTTTTAAAATTGTAAATACCAAATAAATCAAATTAAACATCAAGTAAAACCAAAAACAGAAATTAAATCAAATTTTAAGAGAAGATAGGTAAATTGAATGCCTCAAACCCTAAAAATTTAAATCTTAAAAATGTACCGAATCAAGTTTCAAAAATGCGTTAAAAATCAATTTTTGAACATAAATACTTTTATCAACTATACAGTGGGCAAATATACGAGTGGGCTATTTTTTGAATCGACCGTGAAAGCGAGAGGACGCACTAAATTTTTGTAAGCAATTATTATTGCATTTCGTGCATTTAATTAATTATTTAAACGTTTATTCACGCAGTGAAACGTTAGTTGACCAGCATTGGAATAAAAGAATATCGAAGTTCGAGAATTTCGGTGTTATTAATTGATTTTATTCCAGCGTTTACAAAGTTCCAGCGTCAACATTTTCTCTCGCGAACAATGATGTATTCTTTATTGGTGGATAAAAGGTTACTGCATGACATGACGTATAGTTTAATGCAGTGGTTCTCAAATTGTGTGCTGAGGCACACTAATGTGCCACGAAAGATTTCCAGGTGTGCCGCGAAATAATTTAAAACCTAAAATTGACCCTATATAATCATGTTTTGGTGTGCCGCGAAATTTCTTCATTAAAGAAATGTGCCGTGTACCAAAAAAAGTTTAAAAAACACTGGCATTATTATTATTATTATTATTATTATTATTTATTGCATAAAGACAAAAAGAGATATTCTATTAAATTGAACATTCATTGTATAATATTTACATATACATGTACGACAGACAGACGAGATGAACAAAAATATAAAATAAGTTAAGGGAAGTGGAAAATTAGGGAAATGTCAAAAAATTACGTGATTTTGATGTTTTTATCTAATCAAGGTGAGTGAAGATGGAAGTTGATGGTTGGAGAAGTTCTGTTTTGTAGGCGCTATTTTCAACGTTTATTTAAGTCAACTATTCTGAATACTACGACATCATTTTGATTGATAATCCATAAATAGAATAATTCTACAAATCACAATAATAATAATCATAATAATAGTTTTATCCGTTTTATCCAGTTTTATATTTATGAAATCAAGCCATACACACACACAAATGGATATAAAATATTTATTTCTTATTTCCATTAAGATTTATTGCTGTTCTGTAGTTTAAAAGATATTCTATCGAAATCATGGAACTGTACGTTGAAAAAAAAAGTGAAATGAAAAAGAATTGCGGGATATTATAAATTATAATGCATGGAGATAATATTAAATAACACCTTTGCCACATCTTTTTACTTTTTTTCAGGTAACTTTTAAATCCTCCTTTGCCTTACTTTGTGAGAAGTAGGAAGCTGCTTTCTTCACTTTTTTGTGTACTTTTGAAATCTTTTTAGAGTTGATTCGGAGGCACTTTGGGTGAATATAAGTCAGGTTTTAACAGTAATTTGAGAGATGAGATTTGATAGTTGTTGCTGTAAAGACACCCAGTGTATCAGCTAGAAAGCTGGTATGAACATATTCACACCGTTTCATAGAAGGTCTCTTGGATAAGCCAAGGTTCTCTCAGCAACAATTTGAACGTTTAGATCTTCAATATCCGATTGACGTATTACCTTTGTAGGTAAAATTCGGGTACCCGACGAAAAAAAGAAGGCATTAAGTCAGCCCTTAAGGTAATAGATAGTGTGTGCCTCTAAAGTATAGCGGCAGCTATCCACAGAAGCTAGGTTGAGTTTTATTCATTTCCTCATTCCTCATTACCAATAATATTGCGCCTTACAAATCCGATCATATTTAATACCTCCAACTCTCACTCCCCTGCATACCTTTCAGCTCCAAAAAAGGGAATGAATCTTTCACTGAGCGTGCTGAAATATCATAAGAATGAAAAAATCGCAAAAAAAATTTATTTGAATAATATTTTTGAGTCTATAAAAAAAAATTGTAAAGCGACGAAGAAATGAAGCAGCAAGCACACAGCAAGAGAAAGAGAAGAAAAAAAATTTATGGTTACATTTTTGGTAAAAATTTTTATTGTATTTCTTAAGCAAGATCTATAAATCATGTGGAAAAAGAGAGAGCAGCAGACAGAGAAAAAAAACGAAAAAAAAAATCTTTCATTTAAGTTTATCTTGAAAAAAGAAGCCATGGAATAGCTGTAATCTTTTTGAATCTCTTGTCGTTTCTTTATGCCATGAAAAATATTATGTATATCTTTTACACACAGAATAAAATATTTAACCAAAACTTTGAAGTGAAACCTTAGAGGAGGCACACAAAGTGGAGATGATATCAAGGGTCGTAAGAATCAGCGGTGAAGCAAGGGGTACGATCAAGGTCTTAAGTACCTGAAAATACCAAAAATCTCATTCAAATGGGTGCCTTGACACTAGCTGCGTATCGGACAATGTCATGTTTTGAACTTAATTTGCTTCTGTAGAGAGCTCATACCTTATTTTACACTAAGCAGCAATAAATCGGGTTTAAGCAAGGCTTTGGGCTGAGGCACCCGACCGACAAAACCTTTTGCTTCTTTATGCATCCCCTGCAAAAAATAAAAACTTCCTCAAGTTTTGCGAACGAAAAAAAAAATAAAATATACAAAAAGAAATTGGCTTAATAGACATTTATCATGTGGATTAGCATTCTAAAACGTTCAAAAGTCTTGACTTGATATTTCCTCTCCAAGCTAAGCGTACAGCGGATTTTCGTGTGATGAATGTGGCTTTAATAAAAAAAGAAAATTTATCAGGAAATGAGAATCAAGACTGATGGCAAACGGGTTAATGATTTTTCAAGTATTTCTTTTTATTCTACAAGTTTATAATTTTTTGAGACAATCAATTGAAATTTATAATTTTAAGGTTCGTCAAAAAAATCTCAACAATTTTCTCAGAATTTAATATATACCATCCATAAATTTAATGCATACGTCTTATATTTCCAAAAATAAATCCATTCTTATTTAGCTTCCATCACAACAGCTCAGAACTTTACGTCCATATGGAAAAGAAATTCCAATTGATTTTCATCAAAATCAAAATAAAAATCTCGAAGCTCGATCTTGAAAAATAATTTTGTTCGTCTAACAACAAGCATCAATCATACTTAGTTATTTGTTATGAGAAAATCACAATAAATTTCATGGATGGTATGAGTGAGGCTCAGGATGTGCAGCAAGCATCTGAATAGAGTGAAGTGTTATAAAAATATATGATTGATAAACTGTTCTGTCATATTACCATAAATATTGAATTTCAAGTACTATTTGAAGTACGGATCGTAGACTTACCAATGACCAGTAATTTGATATCCAACCCAACATTTTCATTGATTCTATTTATGTTTAAAAGACTAATAACAATAATTTTCCCAAAGCCCGCAAGTCGTGCGGACTATAAATCAAATAAAGGAAAAATCACTTTGAAAAGTTTCAGTCACAATACAATCAACATTCAATACATCCTCTATTATGAGGTATAAGCACAAAAAACATTGATTTCCTCTTCGTTTTCTACCCGCACGCAAATATTGTCGATTTAAATATTTAGTACAAAGTCCGTCAATATTTATCTTTTACTGTTTAATATCAACGAGAATTTCATTAGAGCTCATGACAATGCTAGTTTTGTTTTTAATGGACTTACTCACTTTCATGTTGGATGTGAGCTTTTTTTTTTGATATATGTATGAACTTTAGAATTGATCTGGAAGGTTTCAATGTCAGTTTGATGACCTCCTCAATTCCCTCGATGGGATTCTTGAGATTTCCGGCTACTATAGTCACAATCAAGTTCTAAGTGACTCGGGTAGCCGTTAAAACCATATTAAAGCTATTCCACTGCTGCAAAGTAATCTTGAACCTCCAAACAAACTAATGAAGGCCCAAATATGCTCATTTGGGCTCAAATGCTCAAAAGCATTTTTTTAAATCTTCCACCTTTTTTAATGAAAGTTTTGAAACCTATAAAAAATTATCAAAATAAAATAAATTATGAACGTTCAGGAGGGGGGGGGGGGGGGTGTGAGTTGTAACATATTGTAACAAGGGGGAGGGGGCTGAAAAAAGGAAAAAAGTCGTTTTTTGCGTAATGTAATAAGTGAACGGCCCCTTAAAAGTAACCAAGTTAAGATCAAATCAAAACAAACTTAATCCTTCACCCTTAACAAACTCCATTGTCATTCTAATTTCATATCCAATGTCATAAATCGATTCACTAAAAATATAAACCTCAAAAAAGTGGCACACAACAACAATAATATACAAAATGAATAGCTCAAGTAATTCGTGAAGCACTGATAATAAATCATGATTTATTTAGCTTGTATATCGACTGTAAAGATATTGCTTAAATATCTATTCAATCAAAAGTCAATAACAATCATTCATACTAATAAAATGTTCCGTGAATATTTTGTTTCTTTACCCGATTTGAATTAATAATCATTTTTTGTCATGTTGTAATGAATATGCATACCTTTTATCGAGTCTTGATAGAATCGGCCATTGGGTTATGATTGAAATTTAATTTATGAGATTTGTGGAATGTTCGAATCAAATGATTTCAATTGGAATAAGAATTTCTAGTGAATTGGAAATAATTTTTAAAATCAATTGAGTTTCAGACATCAAATTTCAATACTTTCAATTCTGTAACAATTTATTTGCATCAAAATCCAATCCTACATTCCATTTAAGCATGACAATCATCTACCTAAACCTCCTCATCCTTAAAAATCAATCGATATGAATATTGTCTACATCGACTTATGCATGTCAAAAACAATAACTTAATTATCGACAAAATTGATATGTGATAAGTTCAAAGTTTATGATTTGATGAAAACTGTATTGAATATATGAATCTATTGTACGTGTATTGTTTGCTTTTGAGCTTTGAAATCACGATCATATGTTGATATGAATTGATGATTCGAAAGTTGATACAATGTTTGATAGCAAATAGATTTATTTGGATAGATGAGATGGGGAGTTGATGGAAAACTTTTGAGCTTCAAGGTTTTTTTGGATTTGAAAGTTCAAGGCTGATTGTTTTTAGAATTTGGAATTTAGAATATCGATTATAGTTAACGAGATTTGAATAATTAGAAATTAGTTTACAATTTATTGTCTTTAAAACTCTAGTTTTCCAATTCAAGGATAAAATTAATTATTGTGAATTCAAACTTACGTCTTTTTTACTTTAAAGCACACAAAAATGCTCACTCACCCCCCAAAAGTCATTTATTCCTCAATTCTAACCTACAGCAATATTGTATTTCGATTCATTTCCCAAGAAATTTTTCATATTTATTTATCTTGATCGATTCATAACCTGATACATGCTGATATTTAAGCAACAACTTTAGTATTTATTGTACAAACATCTACAAATTGGAAATTATAGTTTTATTGTATTTCTTTTTTTTTATTCATGTCAAATTCTTCCTATCTATCTGCTTCTTTTTTATTTGTGAAGCGTGCGTCTGTTGCTAAATGTCGGGTGAAAGTATGAAGGGATTAAGATTTTGGAAAGAAGGAAGAGCGCTTCTATAATAAATCTATGTTTGCATATATGTATACATAAAAAGTGAAGAATCAAACCATTATGCTTGCAAGCTTATAGAGCAAAACAATTTTTGAAATTAATTAGTCTAGTCGTTTTGTATTGTAATAGTCTAGTAGTCTAGTAGTTCTAGTAGTTTATCAATCTTGTAATTCTAGTAATCTAGTCGTTCTAGTAGTCTATTAATCTAGGAGTCTACTAGTCTAGTGCTGTAGAATTCTGATAGTAGTTCCAGTAGTTTAGTAGTTTTGTAGTTCTGGTAGTTTAATAGTCTAGTCGTTCTAATAATCTAGGAGGTCTAGTAATCTAGTACTTTAGTAGTCTAGTAGTTTCAACTAGTATAGTTGTCTAGTAATCTAGTAGTTTTGAAGTCTAGTAATCCAGGAGTTTAGAAGTTTAGTAGTCTTGGAGTTCTAGTAGATTGAGTAATCTAGTAGTTCTAGCAGTTTAGTCGTTCTAGCAGTCTAGTAATCTAGTAATCTAGTAGTGTAGTAGTATAGCAGTTTATAGTAGTCTATTTGTCCAGTAATATATTACTCTAGAACTCTGAAGCTCTAGTACTCTTGAAGTATAGAAAAGAATAAAAACAGGACAAACTGTACAACCACATAAACTTTTCGTCAAATCGCCCAACCTAATAAAAAGGTCTAGCAAAATATCAATTTGAAAAATGCTTCATTTTATTTCTAATATCAATCAAATTCTTTTTCTATTCTCGTATAGATTTAAGGTTCATTGAATTGCGATTAGAAGAAATTAGAAGAAACAAACATAAATTGAATCTAATTTGTCAGTTAATCAAGGATAAATATGATGCTTGGTCAAAATAATTTGTCATAATAAAATGCACATCTAGGAGGCATGCATAGGAAAAGAAACTTTCCTCACAATTGAATAAATTTGATAAAAAATTACGAATGAGTGTTGGAAATTGAAGGTAAATTTGCAGCATATGCTGTATTTGATTAACCATTATAGAATATATATTATCGACTAATGTTGTTGTGTATTTATTTTCTCCCCCGTAGGCTTATATCGAGGCACTACATTAAGCTATATTCAGTTAAATCACTCAACACATCGATCAAATAAATTGATGCTCATCACAGTAAATACGTAGAATATATATTTAATGAAAACATGCTGAATTAGTTTTGCAAGCCATCGACATACGGTCCATTTTGATAGATGTTTATGTGGGACGACATATTACCTTCGTAAATATAAATTGTAAGCACATATTACATTGAGTATGTTTATCACTTTCAATATAAGTATATACTTGTGTAATTTCATCAAATAGAAAATAATCAGCAATATAATTTCATCCAATGGCTTTGCCGTAAAAGCAGAAACGCAAAGAAACAGAACGAAGAAGATTCCATTTGTAATGAAAGCGCTGTGTGACAGAATTCAGTAAATGAAAGTCTTTTACAGGATTTATTATAATCATCGTATCGTTTATTTTCTTCTCTTCTTCGGTAATATTATGTTCAATTCACGCGATTTTCTCAAAGCTTTGAGTTTTTTTGTTATCACTATTTTTAGATGTAGAGCATTACAGCCTATTTATTGATGAGTAGAAATTTGCCGTGAATAATTTTTGTAAGGAGCTTTGAAGATATGAAAAAAAAGTTATTAGAATTTTGAAGAAATTTGTAGAAGGTTATTTAATTTTTGATTAATAACACGATTCTAATAGTTTTGTGCTGGCTTCTCCTTCTTTTTCTAAATTTGAAGAAAGAATATAACTGCAAATAGTGCTCTAGCATTTGAAAACGATTCTGATGTTAATTAAAACTCATCTAATTAATGAGCTTAGTGAGTGTTTTAGAAACTGTTCTTCCCAGTAATCTGTCACGAGTCGGAATCGAACTCGCGGTCTTTTAAGTATCGATTTCGTAAGAAAGCATGATGTTTAAAGCTTGACTATTTAAAAAGAAACTTCGCGGCATATCAGAATTTCAACTTAAACTATTTATGTGATTTGAACTTTAGTTGTTGTATTGTCGTTGAATTGGCTTCATTTGGGAGTCTCCAAAATTTTTGACTTGAAAGATTATGTTCGAAATAATTGTAGAATCGCTAATTATATAAGCTAAGCCTCGACACGAGTATGTTTTTAAAAGGAAGGATAGACATACGTTTCGATTGTTGATTAGTCTAAGGGGCTGTTCACTTATTACGTAACGCGAAAAAATGACTTCTTAGACCCCCCCCCCTCGTAACAAAATTTGTATGAAAAAAAAATTTCCTTGTTTGAATCGTAACAAAATCTTAGACCCTCCCCCCTCCCCCTAAAAGCGTTACGTAATAAGTGAATGGCCCCTAAGGAAAAAGCGCAATTTAAGATTCTTGAATATCCATAAATAAAATATTTCAGAATTTAAATTTTTTACTTCCTACATTCATCATAATTCTCAGTAAAAAAACATTCATTGAAATCTTCAATTTCATAATCCAGCACCTTTGCAAAAAACAGCAACTTCTTTATCCCTCTC